GATGGATGGATGGATGGATGGATGGATGGATGGATGGATGGATGGATGGATGGATGGATGGATGGATGGATGGATGGATGGATGGAACCTTTAATGAAGTAAATCTAATTCTGCTAGAAATCAGTTAATTAGATAAAAAAAAAAAACACTGGATTATTTAATGGTATTTAAAGTAAGAATATGTGTGTGTATGCATGTGCATATACACACACACCAGTTTAAATGTGAGTTTGTATATATATTGATTGATAGATAATATGCACATTCGTGCATACCATTGAGGTATGAATTGATAACTTCCCTCTGACATAATTGATGACCAAATTCCAGTCTGGTAGGTGGTGGTAAATGCAACTTAAATTGGTTTCCATCCGCCAATAAAAAACATAAGAAGAAGCAGCCAGCATTGAGCAATCCACCTTGTTTGGTGTTACAACTTTTATTACAGGTGCACGGCGTGCACTTACCTGCTTCAAACTCTGCTCTGCTGCTCCAGAAGTTGTTTAACATACTATTATGTGTCGGTGGGCTGCTTAACTTTGATCCTCTGTAGTCCTTTTTTAAATTTTTTACCAATAATAAATCAATAATTTTTAAAAAGTCCTTCTTTTATCTGCTGATCCTTTTGCCATCCATAACATGTTTTCTTCACATAATTCCAGCAGCTTCAGGAAACAAAGAAAAAGCTGCTAAGAGGCTGAGGTTGGGCCAAAAGCGTAAATATCAGTAAGCAGACTGCAGTTGCTTAGGGGCCCCCGACCTCTTAGGGGGCCCGTCACTGACACCTGGTAGGCCCCCTACACAATTGGGGAATACGACGTCTCTTTGCAGATGTAATTATGTGAAAAATTCCTTTTAAACCCACCTTAGACTAGGTTGACTGACTGGACCTTACTTATACCACAACACATGGCAGATTTCACCATGATGGTAAGCCATTTAAACATGACACCAATAGCAGAGGAGACAGTGGAACTTTTAATTACTATGTTAATAACTGTATAGTTCTTTAGACAGTTGGTAAAAAAATACACTCATATTTGTTTCAAAACGCAATATAGATCCTAAAAGAACGATGTATTTAAGTATTTTATTTTTTACAATACGACTTGGAATTATGGGTAATCCAGAGCGTAGATTAAAAGCGGAGTGTACTTCATATTGGGCCTACCCAGATAATGTTGCTTACGGGGCTATTGTTGTGTCGTTACGCCATTGGTTCAGGCCGTTCCTTGTCTTATGTACTCGTTCAAAGAAAATGAATCCACTGTGATCAATACGGTGCTGATGTGAACTTTATTCACATCAAAGGTATAAACAACATACCCAAAATATAACTTGTCAAACCTAGATTACAGCAATTTGTATAGCGTTAAAAAAAATACAGCAGCCAACTCACCCACTCTCTACCAGTGACACTTCCACAGGTGGGTAATATGCCCAATAACAAAACTCCTCCCAAATCTAATTGATCCATCCCTGATCCATAATAATAGTGGATCAAATAAATTCCTCTTATTTGAAAACATCATCATTTAAGGAGTTGCTTGTCATTTAATAATATTAACAACTGTAAACTTAAAAATGAACAGTTGAAGTCAATATTATAATGTGCATGGATCTGACAGCTGGTAGATTTATTCTCTTTTATGTCACACACAGGCCTTCTGTGGTGGCCATTGTTATACTGTCCATCCCTGTTTTGGTGATTCGAAAGCTGAAGACACATCATCAATTTGTCAGATAGTTTGTGGTTGCTCTACTGCCTTTTCTTTTGCTATTTGTTATCATAGTATTCACTTACATTTCTCTGCAGAGGTATGTGAACTGGGCAGCCTTTTTTAACAATCCACAGACACCTCGGGTGGTAACTAACATCATTGGGATTTTTTTTTGTCGTCTGGACTCCATAAATGTGCTATGGAGCTGTTCTGTTTTTTACATAGGCATAAGAAACATTTCTATTTATGTTATATTTTTATATAACTATATTTGTAAACAGCTGCCTAAATCCTCTATTGTGTGCCTTTAATTAGTAAGAAATTTGAACAGTTTGCTGAAAAAAGAAGCAACCATAGAGACAGAAGTTCAAAAATACCAAAACACTGAACCTAAGTACAGCAGCCAGACATCAGGATTTATTTATAAAAATATTTCTTATGAGAAATAAAGATGTTTCAAAAACAGAATCTAAGTTACTGATGGAGTCTTTGAGTTAGTTCTAAGAGGTACATCAAGTCATCTAAAAACCTACTTATTTGCTAATTTTTCATATACCAAGATATTTCAAGAAATGAATTAGCTATAATTCTGTGTATTGTCTCTATGTTGCTCTATGCACTCTGCTCATCCATATTGTTAAATTACAAGTAATTTCTGTGAATATCAATCCACACATTAAACTTATTTTTTTTTTTTTTATTGGGCTGATGTAATATTCTTAATGTTGTGTTTGTATTAGCTGGAACAGGGGAAAAAAAGCAGTGAAAACATTGGCTTGTGTATAATTAATGTATCTATTATGTTTCACTTAGGTAACTGAGAAACAGAAATAAAGGAACTACAATGATTGAAACTTTTTTGTCATGTTTGTGCTGGTTTTGTACTCCTACTTTAAGTAAAATTGTGGTATATCATGTGAATAATCACTTCAGGAACTTTTATGATGAGGTATATGTTTCTGCTCACATGTTTCCTCAAAAGAATAATGTATTTGCTAAACAAAAAAAATCTAAAGAAAGAGAAAAATGACTGTGAGACATATTGACAAAAAAACTATTGAAAAGTAAAGTTTATTTTTATCCAGATCATTTGTTTCTCTGCTTTTTAGTGTCATATAAACTTCCATAGTTTTCTCTTATTTTGTGCATTAATTTAGTTCAAGCAAATTGTTCTATCTGAAAAAGAAAGACACAAAAAACTGCATGCAGGCGTTTAAAGATGGTTTTAATCAAAACAAACAACAGATATTATAAATGAACAAAAATATTAAAATAATACTTATTGTACAGGGAACACATAAAAAATAATGGGGCTTTCATTTTCCAAAGAAGCCAAGAGGAATTAAAATTCTGCAATGTCAAAACGAGAACAGATGTACTGAGCATGCAATGAACTGATCAAAATGTTAGTCAAATGCTTGTCAAACATTTGTTTTGCACATAAGCAAATATCAGTGTCTGTGTACAAGTATTCCATACCATAAAATATATAGATAAGATTACATTACTACATTAAAAACTCCTTATTTTCTTATAGATCCTTGTTTTATTGAAATCTGTATTTTAAAAACAAATGCTGAAGTCTGAAAAACACAAAGAGGCTTAGTAAGAGTTGTAATACAGAAAAAAATTTGCTGATTCTTCCTAACACAACGCTATAGCAATAGTATCATGACTTAAAGCAGGATATAAGCATAAACTGAACTTTGGTAAAACACTCTGCTGAGGAAAGAAAAAGGATGCTCAGTGTTACGCTCCTGTTTCAAAATGCAAAATGTTCCCCTGTGCTTCATATTTGCTGAGCTAACACTTTATACCTCATCCCTGGTCTTTGTATGTCTGATAGAGTGAACACATCTCTTTCTTATGTCAATCGATCAAACTATGAACTTAAACCTCAGCTCTACAGAAAGCTGAATTGTCATACATCCAGTGGCAGATCTGGGCATATTTGCGAGGTGTGATCCTTACTGCCACATTAAAGTCCCTTTGCTCACCCCGATCCACCTCCACCCACTGATGGCCTGAAAACACCCCAATAACCCTCCTTTGCCATGTCCATTTCCCACCCTTATGTTTGGGTTTCATTCTTAGACGGATATACACCCCTGCGCCTGCTGCACCACGTTCAGCATCACAGTGCTGATACATCAAATCGTCTGACTCCTTTGTCACTGAGCAGAAGCGATAAACCACATTCCGATTTCCACTCCCGTCTGACAGGCTTTTGTCTGTGTCATAACCTGAGAAGTGAATTCGTGTAAAAGATCGTAAAGTTGGCGCCACCCCCAACTCCATGTGCTTGTGCTTGACAGGGTGTTTCAGCTCAAGGAGGGCATAATCAAAGTCAAGATACATTGAATCGGTGGAGGTATTGGTGTGGATCCATCCTCGAGGAATCTGAGTTTGCTTTATTTGTGACCATCGAAAGACAGCCTGCTTTCCTGGTGCTACATGGCGCTGCACACGATGTAGACTGTGTTTCTTCCTATCTTTTCTCTCAAACTCTTTTTTCCCAAAGACAGCTTCTCCCTCATCAGTGCTCTTTCTTAATTTGCTTCTTCTCCTTTCTTCTCCTCTTCTCAGTCCTCCAACTGTAGTCTTCTCCTTCCCTCCCCTCAAATCTATATTATCTTGTATCCTACCACCTCTTCGTCTTCTTCCCCTCTTTTGTCTGAATCTTCTCCTTTCAGGTTT